CCCCCGATACAGTGATAATGTCTCGTAACAATACATATATGTATAAAACAAACTGTTTAATTCACATTCGTCCTTCATTTTTCAAACTTAATTTGTCGCTTAGAGCCATATCGACGAAATGGTAAAAAATTATCGTTCATTTGATGTTGCATCGATTTACGAAAGTTGTTGTTGACGACTACTGTGTAAAAAGATTGATGACTAGAATGAGAAGATAAAATTAATAACTGGAATGAAAAGAAAATACAATAATTAGAATGAAAGGATAAAAATTCCTTTATTAATAGTAAGTAGACTAAATTTCTATTCAATGGCATACGTATAATTTACACTTAGATATCCAAATTTTAGATTATCGTAATCTTGCATATTTTATAAATCAGATTGACAATAATCCAATCAAACTAATTAACTTACTCGTATTCTTTCAAAAATAATTCCTGTAAGAGATCGAGCTCTTTCGATGATTGTTCCGACCAACGTCGGAAGATGATTAACGTGTTGAACAATGGCGAAGATTCGAGGTGGGTTGTTGAATTATTGATGCATCCAAAGAGAGGAAGAGAGAAACCTAAGAAGATTAAAAGCCTAGAGACATATTAGAATTTCAAGTGGTGGTTAAATTTACTTTTCGATGGATATCGTTACACGCGACCTTGATTTCGAAGATCTTGTTGGCGGATCTGTCCGATCTTCCGGCGATTTCCCCTCGTCTGATAAGGAACAACCTGAAACGCGTCTTGAGACGAGAATTAACGAGTTTCTATCGAATTTTGAAAGCAGCAGAACTCAAAAAAATTTCATTAAATTTTTCATTAAACTGCGAATTTTTGTGTTTTATGCGTTTATACGTTTTATGAACGTAATTAAAGAGTTGGATTTTGAATGGAAACATGTTTTTCATAGTTTGAAATATTTGAAATATTTGATCGTTTCCAATTGAACGAAACATTCACTTATTTAATAAAACGAGTACTTGTAATAATTAATAGCTGAAGCAAATATTCCATGAGAGATTGAAATTGTTAAAAAAAGAATTTTGTAGGATTGAAAGATTTTTGGCACTTGATATTATTCCATGTAGTATAATGTCATAAATAAAGTAGAAATTTTATACATTTATAAAAAATTTCAAAGTGCAAATTTGTACAGAGTGCACGTAATAGAAAACAAATATATAAAACATTCAACTATATTATAGCGCTTATTATGTAGTATTTATTCGTAAAACAATTTTCTATAAAATTTTTTATTTTTTAATTATACTCTCAGAAACATGTATGAGCATAAAGATCCACAATCTAGTCATAAGTTAGAGTCATAATAAATATGTATGAGTATAAAGATCCACAATCTAGTCATAAATTAGATCTGAAGGAGACAGATAAGCACGTTGTTTATTATTCACTGATAACTGTGCTACTTACTCATACAAGAATAATTCTTCTGTATTTAAATTAAATATTCCCTCTATAAAAAAATAATGCTGTAGCTAATTCATAGATGAAGCTTAACCCTTTGAGTGCTAAAACTGAATGAAGAGTATACAATATAATAAACTAAGAATGCATTAATCTTTAATCTCTTTGGATGTCTAATAAGTATCAGAGTTTATTTGATTAATTATTGAACAAGAATTGGCGATAATGTAATTGATTAGAAATGCATGTATCAGTACGTTCAGAACGATGCTTCGAGATCAACTGCTCTATGCGAA